TCGGTAATTTAAAAAAAAAAAAAAAAAAATACAACATTTATTAATTTTAATGAACAATTTGAATTTCATTTTCATTTTACGTAAGATAATTATCGTTTAATAATCTATTAAAGATGAAATATTTAAATATTTATAATTACTTGAATTTTGTTGAAAAGTGCGCCAACTACTTTGCCGGTTTCAACTTCAAGGGCTACGATGCTTACGCCGTCTTTCGCGGCATCCAAACAAAGTTCGATCAATTCATCTGCAGCACCAGGTTCTGATAAAATACCAACGGCCTTGCATACACTCTCTTGCGTAAAGAAACTGGTTCTTATTACGTCGAGAGCACCCGATAATGTATCGTTAGTCAATGATTCAAATTCAATGGCCTCGTCCGTCGTTGAACCCCACAGCCGATAAGGTGACATTCTCTTCTTCTCTGTTCTATCACATACAAAAATAGGTCACGTGTCTGTATATATATATATATATATATATATATACACACACATACACATTCAAGCGCAAAAACAAGCAACATTTACTATATTTATTATACATTTTCAACGTAATATGTAAATTAAATAACGAAATGGTTCATATATATTTTTTTTTTCAATATTTTTATATAGAATTTTTAAATCTTATCTCGACGAATCTCCTTAATCGCTATATCTTATCTCTTCTTAATAAATAACATACTTAATTATTTTCATTGGTAGATAAGTCTATCGAAAATAATTGTTTTTAGTTAATTCGTGATATTTTCTTATTTCTCTCTCAGTATTTCACTCACTTCAGTATTAATTCGTGGAATAATGTATATTTAATGATAAATATTATAAAAATAAATCAGTTAGGATGACGAATATGTTCGTCATAAAACGAGATAGATAACATTCATTATTTCCTCTTTATATGTTTCAATATTTGCATTTTTTTATGCAGTTACTTTTCTTATAAGGTTTTTTTACATAAGGAATTGTCAAAATTCTTTTTTTTTTAAATAATCGAAGAGGCGAAAAATTATGGAATTTAAGAAACAAATTATTTTTACGAATAATAAAAAGATAATTAGGCTTGTTGTTGTTTTTTTTTGTTTTTGTTTAATGGCAAAGAAATAACAAACATTTCAAGATACATACCCCATTTTTGTAACAAAGATTATTCCTTCACAACAGTTCGTGAAATACTGATCATGTTTAACGTTGAATATATTTTCTTTTATGGTTTCATGAGTTCTGTCGATAAGAAAGCATTCTGTTTCGTAAGAACGCAAGTTTACTCATTATATATATATATATATATATACAAATTTACTCTTGTACTCATTTATTTCTTTACGTCTACTTTATGTCTAAAAGACATAATATTTCGAACATCTTTTACATTTTTTTAAAACTTATGACACGCAAAATATTATGTTAATTTTGTCGTCGTTCATAAGATAAAAATAATAATTATGAACTTTGTTTCTTTTATTATTTTTTGCAATTTATCGCAGTTTTAGCGATTCCAAGTATTATTTTATATCGAAATTTTGTTTCTATTTTCTCTCCTTTTAAACGATTCTTATTTTTTTATTACTTACCGTTTTTCTAACGTTTCACATTAGCTTCGAGATATGATTTTTAATAAAATTTAATTTGTTTTGATTTAATTACTTCTCTCGTAGAATTGTATTTTCAAACGTTTTCGAATTAAATGAAATTCCCGAGGAGAATTTGCTGCTAAGAAGCAAAGTAACACAGACATTCCTCTTTTGCAAGGCCATTTAGTTCGTGAGATACAGCAAAGTGAAACTGAAGATATATATAGATACATTGCACGTATCAGCTCGCATTTGCGCAAACCAAGAAATTGTCTTATAAATATATATATATTCAAACGTTAGTAACAAGTTTCTCTTCGTATAATTTAATTCAAATTATTACATTCATTTTTTCTTCATTTCTTTCATAATTTCTTTCTAAGAAATTAATTGTAAGATCGACAGAACTATAACTATAACGAAAACCACATTTTTATTTTAGTTGGACAAATAAATAATAAAAATTATAAAAGTCATTCCTCTTTTTCTTCATCTTTTAATTTTTTTATTTTGATTCTTTTAATTAAAAGAATCTCATCGCGTGTTACAAATTTCTTCTCTCGAACTTATGTAATCGTAAAACAGAGCAGATACAAAAAATTGTCATTTAAGAATATTAATTAGAAAAGAAAGGAGATAAAAATAATAATTTATTCGTACAATGAAATTTGTTATAGATATGAACGAAAATAAAATTAAATAAATTAAACAAATCAAAGATACTTTATTCAAATGAAGAAACAAAAATCAAACTTTACTTACGAGAAGAATTACTTTTAAAAGAATTATACGAATACACGCAAAAAATACAAGACACAGGTAAAAATTTATTAAACTAGCTCATTACTGTATTAAAAAAAATTTGACAAGACATCACGTGATAGCAGATGATCTAACCAATGTATATATATATAT